ATGTATAACCATGATCTGAGACCAGAATAATAGAAATGCTTTTTATGCATTTTAAAACATTAAAATGCAACTAGTCAGGTATCTTGAATGTGACCATCAAACAAATTAATGTACACATGCGTGATGCCAAGTATGACCAAAAGATGTCACACGAAAACAAGGCATGTCCATGACATGACATAGTCCCTTTTAGTTCAATAGTGAACAAAATTGAAATGAGTCGACCATCTTCAATCAGAACATGAGACAATAGCTGTCCATGTATAACCATGATCTGGGGCCAGAATGATAGAAATGCTTTTTAAACATTAAATGCGACTAGTCGGCTATCTTGAATGTGATCAAACAAATTAATATGTGATACCAAGTATGACATGCACAAAATTTGAACATGATTGGCTCTGGAACAGTGTTTGTCAAAATACTGTCATAATTTCTGATGTATGTACAAAGTTTATACAAAATACGTATACTACACTGAAAAGATCTGGTTCCAGAAATTCTTTGCTTTTGATGAATTTTTAACATTTGAGTGGTCGCCATTCGGCCACCTCGAATTATAAACCAAATGGATGTGCATATGTATACCACGATATACAATGTGTGTGGGGTTTGAATGTGATCAAACACGGCATGTCTGAGATACAAGTAGAGATTAGCAGATGGATGGACAGACCTGGCCACCAGTTTGAACCAAAACTGATGTGCATCAGTGATTTTAGTTTCTTTTTTTTTTATGAAAAACAGGTGTCATTCAGTTAAATTTTATCAAAATCCTGAAATACCAGAGGATCATGCAACCCATTATGTCTTGCATTGTACGGAAACAAAATCTAAGAAATTGGGGTGGGGGCGCTTAAAAAAACTAAAGGGCCACCAGTCGACCATTTTTAATCAAATAGCGACTCAATATAAATGATTTAAATACAAAGTTTACATAAAATCACCAGTCAGATTAGTTGATGGGATGTACAATTCTTGATTTTGAGGAAAAACTAGTTTTCAGTAAAAGTCATGAAATGTCTCTCTGTACCAAATTTGAACAATATTGGTCACTGTTCAGACAGTGCACAATCCTATTACAAAGCAACATTGGTTTGTCAAGCAATACAATTTAAGGAGCTATTGTAACAGACATAGTCAAAGCAATTTGTCGGTCAAATCAAACAAATACTATATTGGGCACAATTATCTACTGGTTTTTATTTTTGGGCATATGTGCAAATGTGCTGGGTTTTAATTACACAAGCATTAAGTAAAATCCGTTAAATTAAACACACATCTACATGTAAAATAATAAAGTTCATTTTTTCATATGCTCAACATATCAAAATAGTGAAATTACCATTCAATACCTTGAAAAATTGAAATACTGTAAAATAGATTTTAGATGGAATTAATTTTTGCTGAAAACATTTTTTTGGCATTTTATATGGAATTTATATCACTGATTTCTGAAGAGTTGAATGTGAAATGTAGGAAAAAA